TCAGAAATTGTTGAGCGTAATAAAGTGGGTGTTGCTTCACTAAGCAGTTGTTAGTTTCCCACACTCCCCAGGGCACCCCCCCCCCCCACCCTTGGGACCAGACCCCCAAAGTGCGCAGACAGGATCATCACAGGCGGAGGGATAAAGCGGCCGGAGAAGCCCCTCCGCCGGGCCGGTGCAGCAGCAGCCGGGCGGCGCTGGGCAGCGGGAGCGGAGGCGGCGGCCGCAGGGGCCAGGCAGCCTGGCCCGAGAGGAGGATCTGATTGGGTAAGGGACACAGGACCCCGGAAGATCTAGGGAACGGATTGGTTGGGGCGGGGCGGGGCAGGGTGGTGGGGGGGAGCGGGCAGCCCTGGCCCGCAAAAGCTTAGGACAGGAATTGGTTAGTTCAAAGGGCTCTGGGTCCTTCCCAAACCCAAGGCGACCTAATCCCAGTTTAATAAAGAAGCTTGCTCCTTCTCTGTGTCCCTTTTGCCCTGGTAACACATGCTCGCCCCACTCGTGCGGACGTTCTCTCCGTGGCAGCCGTGGGGCAGCGCAGCTGGGAGCGGGCCGCGCAGCTGGAGGTGCGGAGACGTAGCTGAACTAATGGCGCAAAATGCCTGGCCCTTTTCCTGCGCCTGGTGAAGACAAGGCCGAACCTCTTCCACAGAGGGACAGACCTTAACCCAGGACAGCCCTTTGTGTTTACTTCAATAGGCCTCACCGCACTACAGCCTCCCAGCGTGGGCCTCTGGGATGCTTTCCTCGAGACGCAGTGAAAGAGCCCCATTTCCGCTGGCAACGGGGGGCGGGGGGCGCGAGCCGTCGTCGCGCTCGGGTGTTTCACCTCCACCCGCTACGATGCAGACTCCTAGCGTCTAACTGGTCAACGCGGTCAAGTCCCTAGGCGCGCCGCCGGCCGCGGCGCACCAGCCCCCCGGCAGGCCGCAGTGAATCCAGCCCCTGAGGCGTTTGTCTGCGGGCGCGGGCCCGTAGCTGATTTGCGGGCCGGTTAGAAGTTCAGCGGTTTCACTCCCCTTCCTCGGGCCTCACCTCTTCAGCCGTTTGTGATTAGCGAGGTCGTTTTCTACTTGATCGTTTTCCTAGACTTCTTCCTTTCTCGATCTCAGCACTAGCTCTGCTCTTTGTGTAGTAGTAGTAGTTTTTCTTTCTTTCTTCACATTATGAATTTAGTATGAAATTAATGGACTTTGAATGATAATGTACTATCAGTAGTGACAGAATTTCTCTTGCCTGCTTGCCCTTCAATTACAATGGGGTTGTGGACCCCTTCAGTTCTAAAACTTGGAGATTTTTTCCCCTAGAAGCCACACTCAATTTATAGATATATATATATATACACATACATATATATGTGTGTGTATAGATATATGTGTGTGTATATATATATCTATATGTATTTTTTTTCCCTCTGAGAAGAATTTTCTGAAGGCATGACATCACCAGTCTCGGGGGAACACTCTGGAGGGTGACCGAGTTGTCGGCCGGGAGGACACCCGCTTGGGTGATGGTGAGGACTTGCCTCTGGGGAGAAAGCAGCCTTTCACAGAAAGGCCTGGGAATAACTCACTGCTCAAGGCAACTAAAGGTTTAATTTCTCTCTTTGAGAAGGCGCCATAGGAAGCACTAGCTTTAAGCAAAATCTTTATGAAAGGATTCCTTCTCTGAATTTCCAAACAGGCCTCTTTGTTATTACCCCAAGGGAGCTGACAACCAGTCAGGGAATCAAATCTCCCTTATCATTCCTAGACTATTTTACCTCGCTGTGCACACCTCATTGGCAGGAGGGCCGCAAATAGTTCTCTCAAGCTTCACTCAAACCAATCTGCTGTGTCTGAAATGCCTCCGCCCTTTCTGGCCTTGTGTATTTGACTCCTACACCATGGGGAAGTCCCCTTGGATTCCAAAAGAAAATTAAACTCCTTGGAATCCAAAACTAATAAACTTTCACAGAGCGGCCCCAAGTGGATTGGTTATCATGATATTTCGGTCTCACCTAACCAATAAGAGGGCTGGTTGGCAAGTTCCCAGGATGAATATTCTCATATGAGCATTGAATTAGAGAAAGCCAAAAGATTTTTGGCCATCTGCATGCTCAGCTTACACCCCACCTGAGTTCTGAGGTAGAGATCTTGTGACAGTTGGGGCCTTGCGGAGCAATTAAAAGAAATAAAGCAAAGTATTATATTTTAATTGATGTAATCTTCAAGCTCCCAGTGGAATCTTGGGTGATATCTGACTAGAGTTACCCTAGGTATCAATAGATGACTATTCTGTGAAAGTGCATTTAGGAAGACAAAACCCTACAAATCCCGCACTTCATTAACATGTGTATCTGTTTGGGGGGATTGGCTCGGACTCCCAGGACTACAAATTGAAAGAAGCCACCTAGACTTTTCTGGGATCTGAACAAAGAGCCAGAGCGGGTGGGGGAACAGAGGGCCGTGGAGAGAGGGACAGAGAGAGGAGGGCAGGCGGAGGGGAAGACACGGGGTGGGTTTATATTTTTATTTGCTTTTACAGTGCCTGAATATTAGACATGCCAGACCATTCTTTCCACACCAAAGCAGCTTTCATCCATCACTGTCATTTGAGGGTTTGTTTCTGTTTTATTATAAATATTCCAGTTGAAGAAAGATAAACAGACAAGAAAAACTGTTTTATACAGTATACAGAGTCAGATAGAAAATACAGAATGGAAAAGAAAGTCAACAACCAACAAGACAAAAAATAGAAACCCACGAGGAAGAGAACTAGCAGGTTGCAAATCCCCCATCAGCCTGGGTGAGGCGCAGAGGCGGCCTCCCCAGCGGACAGACACCGCCGGGCCCTGTCAGCGTCACCTCATTCCACGTGGTGAAAGGGACAGGCTTTATGAATGAGTCGTGGGGACATTTATTTCACTAATCCATTAAAAAAGGTTTGCTATTGATCAAGATATCTTACTTATAAAAATGAGTTTTTTAAAAAAAACACCCCCTCCCACCCCAGACGTGGTCCCAAACGTGGTCCCACATTGTCAGAAGCAAGGGATGGAGCTGTGGGTTGGGGCAGTGTGGCACCACCGGGGTCCGCGTCGGTCTGCCTCTGGGTGCCCTTCCCACCAAGTCCATGTTTCTCCGTAAGGCTTGAGGCAAGGTTTAAAAAAATAGTCATGTCCTGCACGGCTTGCTGCCATTTAGTGGTTAAAGAGGAAAAAATTAAAAATAATTCAAATTCACAAGACAGAAGGTCAGCGTAGGACAAATCTGGCATCCATTAGAGGAACGATCAGGGGCACCACTTGGCCCCCAGAATGGCAGCTCTAACTAATTGCCCTGGCACAAAGCAAATGGCGACCTACCCAAACAGCAAAGTCATGGATTAAGCTCATCATCTTCCAAAGACATCTTTATTTTAGTACATTCAGAACAGAAACAACGTGAGGACAATTTGATTGAAGGTGTGGAAGTGGTGGTAGCGGCGACTTATTTCCCGCTTCCTCTAAATTTTTGAAGTTTACAATCATAAATTGCATAGAATTTATGTTTCCTATCAGAAAATGAAAACTCTCTCCATGAAACTTGCAATTGGTGAAAACGAGCAAAGGCCAAGCAGCTGTTGGAAGCCTCTCCGCTCCCAGCAGACGAGTGCTCCGGCCCTTGCAAACCCCTAAGAAGCAGCCCTCTGAGAGCCTGGAGAGCACCCATAGCTGATACTGCAGGTGGAGGAGAAGTTTGGTGCTTTGCTAAGGTCACACAAGGGGTCTACCGTCCGAGCTGAGGTTAGAACTCAAGAATCCCCAGTCCCCAGACCTGCGTGCCTACTGGCGATAAGACCCGCCTCTCTCCCAGGAACATGGCAACCTCTTGATTATTTAAGGTCTTTCCATTTCATAAACACACATGCACGCGCACACACACTTGCACCCAGCTCTCCTGTCTAATCGCAAGAAATCACCCAACCCATAATAGCCTTGGGGCCTAGCTTCACAGGCAGCTACTGAGTTTGGTTAAGAGATGCAGTTGGCAAACTGTGCCTCACACCCCCCGGGGGCCCTTCTTTGTCCTCTGTGAACAGCCATTCTTTGTGAAGCCAGCCTCACTGGGGAACTGTCCCTTCCCTCTCTGCTGCTGAGACAAGGCCCCAGGTAGTCTGCACTCTGCTCTTCTCACCAGTCTGTCTTCTTTAGAGATCACAAAAGACAGAACCAAACCCAATAAGAGTGAAAAACGGAAAGAGGAAAAAAAGACGTATTAACCCCTGAAACGCCTTCCATTCAAAGGTTTCTCTGAGTAAACTGTGAATTAACTGGTTTTGGGGGATTCGAACATTACTTTAATGGGCTTTTATTTGAGCTCTCCCCCTTATTCTCCCTCCCGAGACTCTTCTCCTGCACCGGTGGCCCCATGGCCACACAGAACGGGGAGTTCAGCACCGGAAATCTGACGCACTGGCTGCTCCGTTTCCTAAAATTTAGGAAAAAGGATCAGGAATTATTTATATTTCCATTCCCTAAGCCAGCCTACAAACAAGCAAACAAACACAATGAATAGAAACTGAGAAGACAGCAAAGAAGAAAAGGGGAGGAGGGGAGAGAAAAAGGGAAAATCATTAACAAAACATTAACAAAAATATACAAATCCAGAAAAGAAAAACTTCCCTGTTGAGTTTATTATTTTTTTTTTCTGGTAGGAACTAGACCCAGAGTACAATGGCCCCTTCCTATTGGGAAATTCCACCAGTTCATCGGACTGGTCTGGGAGGCACCCCCGCCCCAGACGGGGTCTCATGGGCGGGAAGGGAAGGCCCGCTGGGAGAAGAGCGGCCCTAGCGGTCGGTGGCATAGCGTCCCATCCCTGCTCGGGGGCAACGTCTCTGGGTGGACTCGGCTCCCAGACCAGGGCGCTGTCTCTGGCTGGGGCGTTGGGCTCTTGAACCTTTTGTAAAATCACTGGATCCAAAATCCGGAGAGAAGTGTGGACGCTGTCGAATCCGGGCTCGGGACAGACAGCAGCGCCACCGGCCCTGCCGCCTCCGTGCCTGGCCCCCGAGCGCCCGGCCCCGCGAGGGCTACTCGGGCTCGCTGCTGTTGGTGGCCTTGTCCCACTCCAGGCTGTCTTCGCTGCGGGCGGGCGACGGCCGGGCCCGCAGACCCTGGAACCTGCGGCACTCAGGGCAGACGCGGATGTGCGTACAGCCGCGCGCCACCAGCGCGGCCTCCTGCGCCAGTCTCTGCGCCAGCTGGTCGGGCTCCCCGGCCCCTGCCCCGCACAGCTTGCCGTTGCTGAGCGCCGCCGTGCCCCGCGGCCGGCGCTCCTCCGGGCCTGGGGGCCGGGGCCGCGGCCCCCCGGCGCGCCGCCGGCGCGGGTGGGCCGCGTCCTGACACAAGATGATGCTGCGCAGCTCCATCACCATCTCCTGGCAAACGGACACCTGGAAAACACGAGGGGGTTCACCGCCCAGCCTCTGAGAGCCAGCCCCGGGGGTACCTGAGCATCTGTTCCAATGAGCCTAGGGCTCGCGTCCCAGAATCACACATGCACATAATCTTGGATCTGGAGATTATACGAAGGCCTTTCAATCCGTCTCCTCACTCCCAGCTCCCAGTTAATATCCAAACGCCCTGCTGTAATGTTCAGCAGCCCTGCAGCTGGTCAGCTGGTCGCCTGATCCTTGTTTGAACACCTTTAAGGACAATGGTCTTTCAGGGTCTCGTGCAGAGTGGCTCCAGGCCCTGCACGAGGCCGGGCTCTGCAGGTGTCCAGGGACTGTGCACTGACGCCCTGCTGGGAGCTGCTCCGCAGTGTCAAGTAGCTGGGCTGTTTGAGCGATAGGAAGGAGCCCCTGCGTGTGCGTGTGCGTGTGCGTGTGCGTTTCCTGTGCGTGCGCGTGTGTGGGTGTGTGTGTAGGGGAGGGTTGTCGTCTTCGTATTCTGTTTGGGGTTTTTTTTTTTTTTTCATTTCTGTTAAATGCTGCTTGAATCTACTGAGTTAAAAATTCCACTCCCTGAAATTCTTCATTAACACCAGTTAAATTTTGACCCAGAAGCCCACTAAATAAATAACTGTTTTACTCCATGTAAGTCTATCAGGTATTTGAAAAAGCCATCATGTCTTCATGAACATTTTGTCCTCAAGCTAAAGATTCTCATTTCTTTGAATTCACTTGTTGTAGCTGGAGAAGGTGCGTTCCAACAACTGGAGCAACAAAAACCCCTGTGACAGTGCTCCCGCAGGGCCACGGTGTCAACGCACAACACCCAGCGGTGCTTTAGCATATTTTGGATTTTAGGAAGGTGATGCATGCTTACCTGGCCCCGGAGACACCATGATCAGGAAGGTAATACAGTGCACATACAGTTTTTATGTATCACACCCAGTGTGGTCTGGGGCAGACTCTGCACTCAAACACATTGATATTTCTGGAGCAAAATGCATGCACCTTTGCACTGAATGAGACAAAGACCATACACCATAGTTTCATACCAATTCAAGTTTTGTCACCAAATGCATTTGCTTGACAAACTTATAAAAAACTTGGAACTTTCCAAGCTTCTTAGATTTCTGAGTTATGGACAAAGAATCATGAATCTAGACTGCTACTACTATTACTACTATGATATCCATTTCACAGATGTGAAAATGGAGGCTCAGAGGTTATATATCTTGCTAAAAATTACTTGACTAAAAAATAGCTGAACCAGAATCTGAACCTAAACTTATCTACTCCAAAATTTAGTTGTCTACCCTGTGCTAGTGAAAAGTGGGAAATTGTCACTTCCCTCTCTGCTCCTTAGACAGGGACGCCTTCCCAGACCCTGATGGGAGAAGAAGGCTTCTGCTGTTTCATGTTCTTTCCTCCAGTCTTTCTGTGCTATCAACAGGGCAGTTGTTCAACCATAGCCAAACAGCTAAGGTAGCTCTTACTCTTTTTCTTTTTCAAGATTTATTTATTTATTTATTTTTTAGAGAGAGGGGAAGGCAGGGAGAAAGAGAGGGAAAGAAGCATCAATGTCTGGTTGCCTCCCTCACGCCCCCTACTGGGAACCTGGCCTACAACCCAGGCATGTGCTCTGACTGGGAATCGAACCGCTGACCCTTTGGTTCGCAGGATGGTGCTCAGTCCTCTGAGCCACACCAGCCAGGGCTCTTCTTCATTTTAGCTATCTGGAGTCCTCACTGAATTTTTCAAGGTACGCCTAGGCTATGGGGTGAGCTCTTGGGAGAGTAACCAAATATGTACAGATGCTCTACTTGAAGCAGTTACAGAGAAGTAGTATTACCTGAAAGAATATGGCCTGAGTAAGAATTGAGACCTGAATTCTGAACACACTCTTGGTGCTAAATACAGAGACTCTACACAAGGTACTTGACATCTCTGTGTTTCTAACAATAACAGGTAAAACACCACCACCTGCCTGATCTGTTACATGTGACAACAATGTAACAACATATACCTATTGACTGTGTTTTCCATGGAAATAAAGAGATAAAAGACACAGTCCTGATTGCAGCACAGGGTGGAAGTGCCCGGTGCACAGGTTACACTGGTGTTGGAAAAGTGGGGGAATGAGGAACTCTTCCGGTCTAGGGAAGAAGGCAGGAGAGTTGGAGAAGGTTTCTCAGGGGAAGGAACATTGGAACTGGCCTTTCCTTCTCTAAGTAATAAGTAAGTATAATTCATGTAATGAGTGGACAACAGTGAAAAGCCAGCAAGTGAGCGCCGCTGGACAACGGGAAAGAGGCTGCGCAGAGGAAGGCCCAGGACTGAAGGCAGAGTGGCTCCAGGCCCTGCACGAGGCCGGGCTCTGCAGGTGCCCAGGGACTGTGCACTGACGCCCTGCTGGGAGCTGCTCTGCAGTGTCAAGTAGCGAAGGAGGTTTAGTTCCAGCATTGGGAGATTGAGATAGAGGCTACTGCACTCTAAAAACCAAAGAATGCAATTAGCACGTAAGGGTTTCTGGCCCTTCTCTGAGACAGGATGGAGGTGGAGTGGGATAAAGTTTTCACCTTTCATCTCAGGCTCTTCCATGTGTGTGAAACAGATTAACCCAGTTTCTAAGCCACGGGTTTGGGAATTAAATTTACTCAAAACCCCTGAGAAGGGAGATGTAATTCTTGGGCTCACATGAATTGTGGCATCTCTAAACGATCTTTACTTGTAAGCGGAAGAACTAAAGTTATGATTTCCATTACCAAGCTAGTAATTTTGCCTGTTTTTCTTCACGATGATACTTCGTATAGTTGTATAAGACTTTGTTGTTCATAAAAATGATATCACATATTAATTTGCTGAGCTCTTTCCTAGAACAGCGTTCCCCAACCTTTTTGGCACCAGGAACCGGTTATTTCCACGGACAGAGCGGGGTGGGGTCAGGGTGGGAGTCGCGCTCAGGCAGCCTTCCGCGTGGCCTCGGGTTGGAGACCCCTGCCCTGTAAGAATCTGACACCTGGAAGCTCAGTGCTCTTTCTGTGGCTGCATGATTAGGAGGTGATGACACACTGACCAGATCTCCTGCCTCGGTATTCCTGACCTGTGGGTATTCCATCCTCACTTGGGATTTCACGGGATCTGCCTGAAATGACTTTTGTCTGTACACAAGCCTGTGAACTTGTCCCTGCTGCCAACGCGGCAGGTCGTACCCCTTCGGAGGTTTACCTCAGTAGCTTCTGAGTGTCGGAGAGTCCATAAAAACTCCAACATAGCCATAAAAATGGCCACGATTAAGCCACAGATAAGAACCACAAAGATTCCACCAATATTCTCCATTCCCAGTCCTGTAAGAAAGTGATAACAAAAAAACAGTGTAAAAGAGCTGGAAGACATAATCATTCTACTAAAAATGCTCAAAGTCATTTAAGTGACAAGAAGTTGAGACTTATAGATGCTTTGTGTACATTTTCCTTGAAGAGGTATGATTCCTTTGCGGGGGGCGGAATGCAGTGTAGTTGGAGTAAAAGAAGGGAGGAGGAACCTAGTGCAAAGGCAGGTGATTGGTGAAGAGCTTCCAAAATGGTCTCTGGGAGTGGGCAGTGGGGGTCATTTTAAAAAGAGCTCCGGGCATTTGAGTCAGCCCGTGAGGCCAGAACACCTGTACATTCCAGCACTGGCATAAGAGAGTTAGTCAGTCTTACTCATGTGTTTGCTTAATATACAGCAATTGTTTTAACCAAACTATAGTTAGAAAAAGTATGTTTACTAAAATACTAATTTGGAAAAGAAAACTTTTAATCCTACTTTTTGTCCTACCAGACCAGTGGTTCCCAATGCTACCTGCCATGAAACTCGCCTGGGAAGTTTGTTAAAACATAGATTCCTAGCTATTCCCCCAGACCTACCAAACCCGCGTCTCCGGAGATGGGGCCCAAGAGTCTGCATTTTAAAGCACATTTCACAGGTAACTCTTTTGCAGCACAGGTATCTTTAGAAGCCTTGCACACGCCTGCAGCTTCCTTTAGACATAGTTTCTCGTCGGACCCTCATTGTCTGGCATGACACCGGGCGTGTGATATACTGAATAAACATTTGCGAAATTGTATGGCTGTTTCATCTCCAGAGTGTCAAGCATTTACTTTAGCTCTGTAACTGGATGCTATTTTTGGTATTAAAGAAACCCGCCAGCCAGCACCGTCGGCCCCGGAGAACGCCAGGCAGGGCGCTCACGCTCCGCGCTGGGCCGCAGCGCTCGCTCGCCCGGCCGCTCAGCCGGCGGGGCGCGGCCCTGGGCGGCCGCAGCGTGGGCGGGGGAGCGGGCCCCGCGCAGCGCCCCCCGCGCGGGCCGCGGCTCCGGGCCGGGCCTCCGCTGCTTCCCGCACCTGGGGGCGCTGGAGAGAGCGCCCTATGGAGCCGATCAAGACGCCCTGCGTTTCCCCTCACAAAGCTTCCCGTGGGGGTCTGTCGTTTCCGCTTCGGTTTTAAAATGGCACCGCGACCTGCTGCCCCGGCGCCCAGGGCTCCCGGGACGACTGTGTCACACCGACCGTGCGCTCCGTCTGCAGGTGCGCACAGTCAACGCTGGGGCGCCCGTGCGAACGAGACCCTCTTTTGAATAATTAAAAAACATGAGATTATTTTAAAACTCATTTTTAAGGGAGGCATATAGGGTTTGGAATAGATTTCTCCCTTTGAGGAGAAAGCTGCTTGGGTTTATTTGAACGCACGCCTTTTTAGCCTGGGACCCGTTTGGGCAGAAGGTTTTTACCCCTAGGTACGCAGGGTCCCCGGGCCGGGTTGGGGGGCAGTAGGGACACTGAAGAGGGAATACACCAGGGACCTGGCCGGGGCGTGCGGGCAGGCGCTCCAGCCGCCGGTGTGAGGGCGGCGAGGGCTGAGGTACCGGCAGGTCCCCTGAGCAGGACGGACGGCGTAGCTTCTCCAGCTGCCCCTGTGGAGAAAGGCTGGACGGACACCCCGCGGAAGGTTGGGTGACCAGGGATGCCCACCTGTGCAGGTAAACAGCTCCCCGGTGGTTGCCGGGGCACTTACTACCTGCCTCTCCTTCCATTTCGGGATAGCACTGCTCTGTATAGGAAAAAAGACCAGGATGCCCTCGAAGAGCCCCCACGCGCCCTCTTGGTTCCGCAGAGCAGGCGGCCGCCGGCCGCCAGGTCCCGGTCCCACGCGGCCCGGGCGCTGCCCCGCCTCCCCTCCGCAGCCTCTCCGCCGCGGACCCTTCCCTTCGGGCGGCGCGCCCTCACGTCTCCCCTCTCGGAGAGAAGCAGAAAATCCTTCTTGCCCCGTACTCTGTCCAGGGAGCACCCCTTTTCTGTCCTTCCTTCCCTGGACAAGCTTTTTGAAACAGCAATTTATATCAGAACTCTTTTAAAGCCCTTAAAATGCTTACATTTGCAGACCACCAACTCACATAGAAGGAAGCAGAAGAAAATTCACCTACATCTTACGTTAGATGCATTTTAAAAATTTTGCTTATGAAATGATCGAATAACAAGAAAGGGTTAATTTGTAATTGGCTGTGATTTCTCAGCATTCTTTGTGCTACATGAGAAAAGTCTAATAAAAATTATTTCTAAATATGTTTTTCAATAAATATTAAATTTAAAAATTAATAGTCAAATGCCACATTTTGGAGATATTTAATTCAACATGTCTGTCTTAATTTAATTTTGCAGTTTTCTTTTTGCATTTTGAAACTAATAATTTTCTTCAGACCTCGAACATAATTTTGGGTGCTGGAAAGACTTTCAGGCCCCGGGTAATCTTGTCTACAGTATCGGAAACAGCCTGAACTCACAGTCGTTTTTCCTCTCCCCTCCTCATCCCATGCAGTTTTGTCCACGCCACTAAAACCACCCTCACCAAATTTACCAATGAACATTTTATCACTAACTTACTGGAAAATTGCTTGTCCTGATCTTAAGTGACCGCTTGTAGCACTTGACATTATCAATCACGCCCCTTTTTGGCTTTTCACGAAACCATGGCTCTCCCGTCTTTCAGTCTCCCAGGCAGCTCTGCTGGCTCCGAGGCTCGTTCTCTCCTTGATCTTGTGCATTGAGTCTCTTCCTCTCCTCCATGCACGAGGCTACTACCACGCCCTGCGGATTTTATCGCTATTGCTCCTACCACTTCCCCAGCTCAGTCTTCGCTGTCTCTTGCTTGGACTATTGCAGCATCCTTCAGAATTATTTCCCTGTCTGTAGCCATGTCCTCCTCAACACCACCTTACACAGAGCCGCCTGAGTGGTCTTTCTGAAACGTGGAGTCTACCTGTGACACGCCCTCTGGTAACACAGAACTGTTTTGAGCTCCGAGCGCATGTCACTGTTGTTCCTATCTTATGTACCTGTACTCCTGTTAGTGCCTCTGCCTGGAACCGGTCCCCACACCCCAGACACACACCTGCTAACCTCCACCTTTCCTTTAAGATTTAGCTCAGTAGATATTTTTCTCTAGGCCATTTTTCTGATGTTACTTGACTCTGTTAGTTACATTGCTTTTGTGTTTTACTGATAAAGCATTGCTTACCATTCTAATATTGCATAAAATAATATGAGGTCTACCCAGAAAGCATCCAGGCATGTAATGTGCAAAATAGACACATTTATTGAAGAGGATAAAAGAAACATTGTACATAGGACAATGATGACTCATTCCTCTTCAAAGTAGGTGCCTCGGGACCTCACACAATTCCCCCAATCACCATTAGATGCTCCATCATATTTTCCTGAATCTCATGAATGATCTGAAATCTCTTCCCTTTCAAAGATGATTTTAGTTTTGGGAAAAGCCAGGAGTCACAAGGCACCAAATTTGTGCTGTAGGGGGCCCAAGTCACCTGGGTGATTTGATATTTCATCAAAAAACCCTGCACAAGATGTGATGCACGAGTGGGTGCATTGTCATGATGAAGCTGCCAATCACCAGTTGCCCATAGCCGCAACCTTCTGAATCATCCAAATAGTGTCCGCGGAGGAACGTTCAAGCTTAATGCAAAACTGGATGCAGATTTGTTGCTGTACTCACTAAGTCATTTGGAATGCAATGGCCACACAGCACACATGCTCACTCAATGGCGTCTACTGCCCCCACTGACTAGTACAGTGAAGTCACTGTTCACACATGCTCATGCATGTAACCTTGGCTGCCAGGTTACATTGATGTCACATACACCATTCTCATTGTACTAACAATGGCTGGACTTTTTCTGGACAGACCTTGTACACTTGTTTAATTATGTATATTAGGACTTCCCATTAGACTGTGAGTTCCACGAGGGGAAGACCCAGGTCTAGTTCAACTCCGTAACTCCATAATCACCGTGGCTGAAGCCCCATAAGAGCCTGCAAGTATTTGGGGAAAGAATGAGCAGGAAAAAGAGGATGGAGACATCCCATATGTAGAAGCTCGTATCATCAAAACCTTTGCAACCATATTGTGATGTGTATTCATCCCCAATTAAGTTTTGTCTGAAACAATAGTAAAGTGTAACCACCTTTGTCAGGTGCTCCCAGCCTGGTCACAGAGGCAGGCGGCCCACACGCACCGAGTGTGGCCAGGGCGGGACTGCATGTTTACGTGGCTCACACACCGCGGCCTGACGGCGCGGAGTTCCCGACGGCTGGGAGGGGCGGGCTGGAGCCTAAGCAGGCAGGTTGTCTGTGCTGGGACAGTGCTGGCTTCCTCAGGGAAAGCTTCTTGGAAGACTGAGGTTTTAACAGGATGCTGGTGGAAACCATGAGTCACTGAAACACCCCACAGTCTTTCTTTCCCAGCTGCTTGTGTTCCAGGACCAGCATGTTAATCATGGGTGTTGGCTCTAGAGGCTGATTCCTGGTTGATGGGTCTTCTCCCCGTAGGAGGGAGCCTTGTCTGCCACCCGTGCCTTCAGGACCACATTGGAAAGTGGGAGCCAGGACAGATTGCTGGCAGAGCCAGAGCTGAGGGGCAGACGGAACGGGAGCAATGAGTGGGGAGCAAGTGTTAGGAGAGGGCGGCTTTGGCGTTTCACGCTGCCATCAGTCGCTCTCCCCGAGGCCCACGCCTTCCCTAGCCATAGCTGCCACTCAGAGGAGCTCTGGGTGGACCCCCTCCTGCCCGGCCATGAGCCTCACTGCACTCACAGACGCCTCGGCACCTGCACGGGGAAGCTGTCTAATCCTCCTCCCTTCCCTTATTTAGAGGGCACGCACTGAAGCCACCTAAACAGAGGGTTCTCACACTGGGATTTTTTACTGACACTCAAGCCTCTGAGCCTCAGATATGCCCCAGTGGTAAGATCGTATTAAGTGAAACAGAATTGAACTCTGCCTGCAAACTC